TAAACTCTTGCTTCCTGTAATGACGTAAAAGTACTCTAATTTCGAAATTTTCCATGATTTTAGTGAAATGAAAAAAAAAATAAATTATCAACAAATTAATTGTAAATAATAAGTAAATATTAAATTACTTTTTAAAAGCTACACAATGATAGATCACACTTGTGATATAAAGTATCTTTATTGACGTCAAAAAATTATACAAACTGAAACAACAGAGAGAACGTGCGAACTTTTGGGTCATCCTAATAATTGTTAAATAACGATGGTTGTTTCATTATTATATTTTAATTAATCTTGATTCGAATTAACGTTAGATGACCCAGCAGCATATGCTATAATCACTGCCTTGCCTGAAGTAATTGCGTGCATCGCCAGTATGATACGAACACGATAAGAGCGTTTCAAAGTATTTACTCGAGATGAGCAGTTACTTGAAAGGAGATAAAGAAAAAACGAACAGTAAACCTATCGCTTTGCAACCAAACTGTTTATTCGACGGATTGCGAAACGAGCGTCGATTAACAACTGTCCTCTCGACAATACCTACATATGTATGTGCAAGTAGTATTACATGAAATTCTCGCGACCGTCATATCCACGTTGTTGAAAGTTCCCGATATCATCAGGACGACGACGGATCGAAGGAACGTAGTAGGGACTCATTTTCTACGTGTTTCTACGAGCGTGGCATTCATCGTTTCAATAATAAGCTTTCAACGTCGATCGATAGTCGAATTATTATCAATAATAGTAATCGATCTACGGTGTTCCGTGAGATGTGTTGCTAAACAGACGTTCTGCATATATAGTTTGAAAAGGGTCTCTGACAATGAGTTAATTTTCGGCATTAGAGATCCTTAACTCGCCGAGAGAACACGGCACCTGCATCTTACGAAACGACCGTACAAATTTCGTTTCCCACAATGCAGAGTTTATAACAAGGACACGAATAAAATTATTCGTTTGTACACACTCAGTTTCTCTTGTATAAATTATAAACGGCTGGAACCAACATTCTCACAGACGTATGAAAGATGTATACATGCACACGTGGACGAGGGATCAAAGAGGACGCGTATCATCGGAATTATCCGTTTCAATACGTATCTCGTTCTCCTTTCATTACGCGCGTGTGTGTGTATAGGTGCGCTTTACGTACGACCGTGATTTCATAAAACGTGTGAAAATATTCAGCGCGCGAGAGCCCGCACGGATTGTGTTCATGCGAACATTTATAGAGCGCATAAGCATTACTTTGTACCATTTTTTCTTTCTCTCCTTGCTCTTAATTTTTGAGAATCATCCGACCATCGAATGCGTAAACATCGTGCCACGTTTCGCAAAGAGCACCGCGCAATATCTGGTTTCCTCACGCTTTGGGAATACTGTAGAACGATTTAACCGTGACGAAAGGTGCGTGTAAGAAATGCGTGTCCGTTGATCAAAAATGAATATTAAAGACGAAATCCTGTTTAAGTTCACTCACTCAAGTTCTGATTGATGACTACCCGGAAGGATAGGAGAAGAAGTTGCGCGTACGTCGCGGTCGCCGTCGTTTGTTTCAGAAATTTTTCACCCAGCCCTCGCCCCCCGCGTTTCAGAAGAAGTTTCCATCCATTGCGCAACTCGTTCGTTCCATCCACTTTCTTTCGAGTCAGCGAAAATCCAGCGTTAATAAGAGATAGAATCTCGCGGCTAGACCACGGAATCATCTAAGTTTCTCGATATCGCGTCGAGAATTTATAGCGATCGCGATAAGAAAGACTGCGTACAAAGCGAAAAGGAAAAAAGCTAAACGAAAACATAGTGTCTTGTAGGGAAACCAAGATTCAACTCTGTCGCCGCGGTAAACCGAGGAATTCCGGTGCGCAGGTAATTAAGAAACGCGGACGAGTCGCGGGTAATTATAAATGGAAGGTAGACCGCTTCCAAACGAGAATGAGGATATTTCTTGGATCGGATAGAAATTGGAGTACCAAGGAAAGCGTATCGAAATAGGCTTTTAATAACGAATCAAGTGCGAAGTAAGAGGAAAAGGAGGAGGTAATGATTGTGCGAAAGCGCGAGAGCGAGTGATGCCGCACGCGTACGATCCAGCGTGAAAACACGGACGGCGTACGTACACACGGGAACCGTGGTAAACCGTAAAAGTGTCTCGGGAACGAAGAAAAGAGAAAGCATCAGAGATAGCATCGGGTCGCATAGGAAGATGACCAAGCGGAGTACGAGGAGCGAGGGTTACGGAGGAAGACAGAACGAGGAAGCGGCGAGGGAACCTGGGGAGAAGGTGAGAGTGGGTGTGAGGATGGTAAAAGGTAAGCAGCGCGTGCGCTCGCCGACTGGGTTGCCCACCGATGCACCTGGTGCTTGCCTGCACGTAGAGGCGCTCGAACACTCGCGCGTTCCGTCGCGAGGGTTAGAGGGGACGAAGAGAGCGCGCGGGTCAACGTTAGAGGGAGGATTACGAACTCCTCTGACGAGGAAGCGCGAGGAAGCGAAGGAGCGAGGGGGAGCCCGGCGTCGGAGCAAGACGGGACGATTAGCTGGAAACGTGAATGGAGGAGGGCGATAGGGACAGCGAGCTAGGGGACGGACGGTCGACGGACAAGGAGGCAAGGATCCGCGGGATCCTTGCGCGGTATGAGGTTTGCATGCCTAGCGGACGGCGCCTCAGTATCGTCCTACGTTCCGCTCGCGACGCGACCCTTCGACTTTGGTTCTCCCGCGCGCGTTCCGCGCTCCGCTAATACCGGTGGTACTTACCATCGTTCCGATCACCGAGTCGATTTTTTTAACGTACCGGTCATTGCACAGTGATATCTGTTCAGAGTTCTATTCGAACAGGGGCGAAAGCGTCGTCGTCGTCGTCGTCGTCGTTTCGTTTCGTTTCGTTTCGTTTCCCGTTTCCCGTCACGGGTGATGTGTGCCGTTTGTCGTATCCCTCGACCCGTTTCCGTAGGAATTACGAACAAGTGATCCGAGGGTAACAGACCAGAGAGATATCGGATGTTACGCACGTACGTATGTATGTATAATTTTTTATCGCTCGCAGCTGATTTCTGTTTGTCGTTACCTGGTAACGCGCGTTACTACTACTACTACTATTACTACTATCATTACTATATCGATATGAACGTGCGAGATTGTGATTTTGCATTTTAATGAATGAATACATGTATTTAGTAGAATATGAGCGACGTCGATGAATAAAACTAACGACGTTTCCTTTTTTTTTATTTCGTTTTAAGTTCGTAGGATACAGTAGCTGTTTACCCGTTGTTCACGTTTCTTACGCTTTTCTGTTAGAGAGTACGAAGTGATATAATTTAGACGGTGATAATAAGTGATAAGTACAATTGTAGCAAAACTGTGTAATTGCCCAAGCATACCTGATACGAATAGATTACTTCTTTATTTTATGTATGTACAGCAGATGCAGGTATTTGTATAGATACATCTCGAGATCGTTTCATTGAAGACTTAGTGTTCGTATCAATTATCTTATACGTTGTATTCCCGAGCAGTTTATCTCCCCGTAGAATTTTTATTATCCGTTATTGCATCCTCTCATTTGTCCTGTAGACGAGTATCTGATCGAACTTTGATTTACGAAAGCAATAACGAACGTATTACCTGTCTGTATATATGTATCACGAGAATGTTGTACATTATAAAAAAAAAATGGTAAGATTAGCGGTAAAAAGAATAGTGCGGTATGTTCCTCGATTATTATGAAACGCACAAAAGAAGTGAATCCTTATTTTTTCGAATCTGAACGCATCATTGATATCAAGTAGAAGACGATTGGAAAAATGTATACCGCTGAATTACAAGAATACACGATATTGATAGCGTAAGAGAAGAAACTAATTAAGTCTGAAACCATCCCCACGATTCCTCGTTTATCGTTCATCCGATTCCTCTTTGTTTCCTGCTTTTATTGATATTCTTTTACGGTAACGCAGGAATAAAAACTTGTCATTCGGAAAGGAAAAGCCGATAGGAACTTTATTAGAATCCGAGGGGGATTTATAAAGGAACCCTGCGAAAGTTCCGATCTGTAATTATGGCAAACGTGTGCTTTCACGGTCTCTTCTGATTGCATCAGACATGTTCGCACGTAAATTTCTCATTGAACCGAACTGAAACGATCTATTAAATATGAAATTCACAAGATGGTGAGTTTGGCCATATTCCCATCAGTAAAATGATCGTACTTTCATTTCTGAAGAAGAAATTTACATTTCGCATTAATAGCGTCGTATATTAGGATTCACTCATTAAAATCAAACCAGCCAATAATGTAATCAGTTATTCAATAAAAATTAAGTTAACAATCTTATTGTTTAACAGAATGTATGATTAATCGTTCCGCTCGCGACGCGACCCTTCGACTTTGGTTCTCCCGCGCGCGTTCCGCGCTCCGCTAATACCGGTGGTACTTACCATCGTTCCGATCACCGAGTCGATTTTTTTAACGTACCGGTCATTGCACAGTGATATCTGTTCAGAGTTCTATTCGAACAGGGGCGAAAGCGTCGTCGTCGTCGTCGTCGTCGTTTCGTTTCGTTTCGTTTCGTTTCCCGTTTCCCGTCACGGGTGATGTGTGCCGTTTGTCGTATCCCTCGACCCGTTTCCGTAGGAATTACGAACAAGTGATCCGAGGGTAACAGACCAGAGAGATATCGGATGTTACGCACGTACGTATGTATGTATAATTTTTTATCGCTCGCAGCTGATTTCTGTTTGTCGTTACCTGGTAACGCGCGTTACTACTACTACTACTATTACTACTATCATTACTATATCGATATGAACGTGCGAGATTGTGATTTTGCATTTTAATGAATGAATACATGTATTTAGTAGAATATGAGCGACGTCGATGAATAAAACTAACGACGTTTCCTTTTTTTTTATTTCGTTTTAAGTTCGTAGGATACAGTAGCTGTTTACCCGTTGTTCACGTTTCTTACGCTTTTCTGTTAGAGAGTACGAAGTGATATAATTTAGACGGTGATAATAAGTGATAAGTACAATTGTAGCAAAACTGTGTAATTGCCCAAGCATACCTGATACGAATAGATTACTTCTTTATTTTATGTATGTACAGCAGATGCAGGTATTTGTATAGATACATCTCGAGATCGTTTCATTGAAGACTTAGTGTTCGTATCAATTATCTTATACGTTGTATTCCCGAGCAGTTTATCTCCCCGTAGAATTTTTATTATCCGTTATTGCATCCTCTCATTTGTCCTGTAGACGAGTATCTGATCGAACTTTGATTTACGAAAGCAATAACGAACGTATTACCTGTCTGTATATATGTATCACGAGAATGTTGTACATTATAAAAAAAAAATGGTAAGATTAGCGGTAAAAAGAATAGTGCGGTATGTTCCTCGATTATTATGAAACGCACAAAAGAAGTGAATCCTTATTTTTTCGAATCTGAACGCATCATTGATATCAAGTAGAAGACGATTGGAAAAATGTATACCGCTGAATTACAAGAATACACGATATTGATAGCGTAAGAGAAGAAACTAATTAAGTCTGAAACCATCCCCACGATTCCTCGTTTATCGTTCATCCGATTCCTCTTTGTTTCCTGCTTTTATTGATATTCTTTTACGGTAACGCAGGAATAAAAACTTGTCATTCGGAAAGGAAAAGCCGATAGGAACTTTATTAGAATCCGAGGGGGATTTATAAAGGAACCCTGCGAAAGTTCCGATCTGTAATTATGGCAAACGTGTGCTTTCACGGTCTCTTCTGATTGCATCAGACATGTTCGCACGTAAATTTCTCATTGAACCGAACTGAAACGATCTATTAAATATGAAATTCACAAGATGGTGAGTTTGGCCATATTCCCATCAGTAAAATGATCGTACTTTCATTTCTGAAGAAGAAATTTACATTTCGCATTAATAGCGTCGTATATTAGGATTCACTCATTAAAATCAAACCAGCCAATAATGTAATCAGTTATTCAATAAAAATTAAGTTAACAATCTTATTGTTTAACAGAATGTATGATTAAAAAAACGAATTGTATGTTTTATCATATTTCCTTAAAAGTTATACACCTTTGCAGAAACACAAAAACTTGCATAAAATAAAACAATTCAATTTTTGTTTTTTTTTTATTGAAAACGTAAACTTTTATATCTGAAAGAAGATTAATTAATGGCAGATGTAATTCACTAATATAAAGAAATTATCAATATTGCAAATAATTGCAATATGAAGTTCGTAAGTAGTAGACTGAGAATTTTAAATAATTATAGAAAAGTATCTATGAAAAATATAAAAATATACATAAAAATTGAATTATTGTTGTGAAAGTATAAAAGAAATTTTTATTTAGATTGTATTTTCTGTTTTGTATAAAATGTATAATTTAGTAATTGGATTTAGAAGTTTGAAAATTTCCTTTCAATGACCTATTTTCGTGACACGTATGACGTAAATCACCGTCTTAAACATCGAAACAATATAACACCGTCGAACAATATAATTATGACTGCGATTAATTAAACATAAAGAAAAGGGGTTCCCATAGTCGACATTGCGTTGTATCTCACGATACATGGAAGGAGGGAACCCGCGCGCACACAAACGCGCGGTACTCCTCGCTGAGCCCGTTTCTCGGTAACGTCACGCACGTTGGAACCTATAAATTCACCAAATAACGCTTCCGAGTTCCGGTTTCCACGCGCGCACAGCTAAATTCCTCATCTTCTTTTTTTTTCCTTCTAATTCTATTACATAGTCGCCCGGGAGAAAGTCGTTGTGTTACAGATTAATAACGTAAGATGCTATTACAACGTACACCGCGGCGTGGATAGAGATGTTGTATTAGCATTCGAAGACATAACGTTTTACGTTCCTGAGAAATTGACGGAATTGTTTCCACGTATTACGTAGAAAGTATCATGCACGTTGGGAAAATCGAGGGATCCTGTAACCGGCGTAGAACCCATTAAAAGGATGAACATCCCTTTCTACATTCTCTACTCATTATTTCTAACATGTAAAAACTAAAGAGCAAAATTAGATATCATAAATAGCTTATAAAGAATACAGACTTCTCTCGTTGATTACTAATATAAGAATTCATAATGAAAAGTTTGAATCTTTTAAAGAATATCAAATTATCAAGAGTTCTGTCAGAAACCTCTTAACTATTAATTGAGACAAAACAGTTGGGTCCTTTCTACATTTTCTACTCATTATTTCTAACATTTAAAAATTGCAGAATAAAGTTAAATGTTTTAAAAACAGATTCTAGAAAATACGGATTTCCCTCGATGATTAGTAATTTAAAGATTCACAACGAAAAGCTTTTGTAAAATATCAAACTGTCAAGAATTCCGTCAGAAACCTCTTAACTGTTTATTAAGACAAAATAGTCGGGAAGAATGTACATCCCCTACTCATTGTTTCTGACATTAAAAAATGAAAGAGTAAAATTAAATATGATAAACAGATTATAACAAACACAGATGTCTTTCGTTGATTGATAATTTAAGAACTCATAATGAAAAGTGCAAATCTTTTAGAAAATAACAAATTAACAAGAATTCTGTCAGGAAGCTCTTAACCATTGATTGAGACAAAATAGTTGCCAGCTTCCCTACGTACTTTCCTACTTCCAAGCAGTACTAAATTGCAGGGTAACGTCCCAGGTCGCAACGAGTAGTATTTCATTATTCCAGGGTGCAATCTGTCATAATTACCGTGTACCAACGGAGGAAAGAAAATGGTTAATCGACATCAACCACGAGATAAGAAGAACCGTACGATGTTCTTTCTTTATCTCTACACCAGTTTCCTTTTCGTTGAATATAACATTTCATAAGTATCCTAGAAAATCATCCTCATTATTTTATGATTACGCCCGTAATGGATAATCGCAGTAGCGAGTCAAGCGATAAAGATCGCGGACAGAGCCCGGCGTCTCTCTGCGTGTGTTGAATAGGCATCGGTAGCACGTGTGTTCGTAAGTAATTTCGCTTATGTCATAGCACAGTGGCTCGGCTGCTTACCAGCCGGCGTACTTATACGCTGCTACCCCCGCTCGGCGTATCACGCGAGAAAACGCGAGGACAATCCACCGTGTTTCATCGCGCTCGCTGCTTCTCGGAAGAGAGGTCGGCGGAATCGCAATCGTATGTGCGAAGTCGTCGTCGTGTCCCGCGGGGTCGTAGGTAGCTGTAACGCGCGGCGCAGCTGTAACCGTAACATAACGTGTGCCGGCGAAAGTGGGCTCGTCTTCCGGATAAACGCCTGCTCGATAAATCGTACAAGTCGTTTGCCGCGCTTCCGTCTCAGGCTCGAGCAATACGCGATGCACCTAGCAACTGGGATGCATTCAATTAATTTAAAACCGGCCTTCGATTTTCTTATTATAAATACCGAGACGTTTCGTAACAGTTTTGTCACTCTTTTTTTAGTAAATTTCAAATGAAATCATGGAAGAGAGCATTACGAGTTCGATGATAAACATCTTCCTCATTTCATTTCCTAATGCGCGGATTTATGTAATTCGGTATTAAAATAGTTTTGTAAGATTACGAGTTAATAATCATTTCAAGTTGCTGCGACGATAAATGATAAAATTAAAAAGGACTATGTTTTTTTTTTTAGGGACGCTGTCAATTTTAAGAGACTCTCTCTCTCTTTCTCTGACGATACCCACCCCTGGTATTTTATAATAGGCGTGTTATTAAAACCTTTGCGAAAGATCTCGGTTGCTGATTGCTACGTTAAACGCTTTGCGGAGAGGCGCAATCTGAAGTCGAAAAACTCTTCCGAGATACACTTGTAACTATTTATTATTGGTGAAATACTAGTCGCATCTCTTCCTGCGAAACGATAATCATAGCGTTATTATTTCGACATTATCCCGTTTCGAGCGACAATTTCGTCGAATGATTGCATGCCGCCGCGCCGATGGAATATTACCTGCCTATCCGCCAACAGGCTGATTGTTAAGTTTAAACATCGTTCCTGTCGAATTGCAAGAACGCACTTCTCCGTCCGCTAAGCAGCATCGGGGATCGTGTCGATCCGTCGCGGAAGACTCGCAGCTCGGGTCCCTCGACGTGACTCAATATCGGTTTGTCGTGGCTGGCTCGCTGCTTTCTAAGATCTCTTTGCCAGGGGGGCGGTAATCAGATTCGTTCTTGAGATATCTTGACGATCTTCCTCGCTGGCGAAGGCGTCGGTGAGTGACCCGAAATGACCTTTCTTCTTCGACTCTTAGCAGCGCGGGTGGATTCACCGCGGCTCAGGATCGGCAATTACCGCACGAAATCTTTATACGTGTACATACTTCTGTTCATCAAGTCTTAAGATCGTTTCAACTTCAACGAATGATACTATTTCAATTTGATCGATTTATTTAACTACTAGACTCTGGATTGCATTTAGGGGAATTGTTAATTATTTAAAGAAATTCAGTATGCAGTAATATGTAAAAAAAATTTGCAAAATAGAGTACTTGTATGCATTTCGTTTCTTTAATTTTATTTGTAAAGATGGGAATTTGCCTAAACATCTGCAGTCTAATAATTACACTGTACAACACAAGATTTTTCTAATACGCGGAATATACAAGAACGCATGAATTATATGAATAACTATTGCGGTGTTTAATCACTAAAAAAAGATATAAAATACGTTTATTAAATTAATTTCAAACAATTTATTAAATTAAATCGGCGGTCTTTATAATTACCATTTCAGTCTGAAATTGTTAAACATGGGTTCGAATTTATTAAAAACAAATGTCTATTCATATGAATTATATGAATATCTGTGCACATATTATAGTATGTAAATGATAAAAGAAAATATAAAATACATATATTAAACTGAAATCATAAATCTTTTATTTTATATAAAAATTCGCAGTGTCTTCATAATCATCATTTCAATCTGAACACGAATTCGAGTTCATTAAGAACAATCGCCTATTCTAATCATAACTGGATTGGACAATCCTTGATACGGATGTACGTTTCATCAAATTGCTCTATCAGCGGACGAGGGTGCATGTATTCGCTTATTGCTTCCGCTTAGCTGAGACGAGTATGTCTTTCCCGTCGCGTTGAAAGTACGACCAAAAGTCTTGTTGGTACCTTGCATACGTGTCGGATACATATTCGCGAGCAGGATGTTTCATAAGGTGCCGCTTTATAACGATCCCGAGCGTTCGGTCGTTTCCTGAATCGAAAACGACGTACTTACGTCGTTCTCATGACGCGTTGAGTATCACGGGAACGAGACAAATTGAAAAGTGTTACTTTCATGCCAATAAAACGAGCCAGCTAATTCCGATAGAATATACTCACAAAGGATTCATCTGCGCAATGTGAAAATCTATGAACTAATTTTAAACTGCCGGTGGATCTACATTGGAAATCTAATTTTTTATTATTTATTTTTATGAATCTATTGTGATACTTCATGTTGCTGGCGTTGTTGGAAAAATTGTACAAGGTGGAACAAAAAAATGCGCAGTCTAATAACTAAAGGTATATGAAAGGATTATAGCATTAAAATTGAGACACGAAAGGAACACAATCAGCTAGAAGAACTCTCCCATAATGAATACAATGCTTTACGTAAGATAGCACGAATACATGGGAAAAACTTCAAAAAACGTGACGATCCTTCATCGTCGTCAATAACAATAGAAAAAATTAGAAATATTGTTCATTAAAGGAATCTGAAAATGAAGCCTTTATAAATATTTGTTCCCTCTGTAAAGAATGAAATTTTTACTATGAATAAATGAAACGATCAATGGATGTAAGATAAAAAACTGTTAATGGTGGTTTCAGCCTTCTGAAATTCTCAATGGTAAGGAAAATTCATTTTTTCACGCCGTAAGTGCTTTGAAAAAACGTTACGGCTGATTCATGCAATTAACTTCGTCATTATTCGCCTCGTCGAAGCTGAACGAATGGAGAAAGATCTCGTTGTCTGTTTCAAATTTACAAATCGAACAATGAACGAGAGAAAATTTTCAACGGAAAATCATTTTTCTTTTACGATTACTGTAATTCATTTATTAGATCGATGGTAATAATTGTAACACGTAAATGTACTCTCTTTTATTTAAACGACGCGACGAAGAAATGAATTGCAAGTTCCCTTGATCTAATCATGAACCGAATGATAGAAAAGTTGATTTTAAATTCTAATCTAGCCTGTTATTATCTAGGTAAGTTCGTTGCAAGGCAGTCATTAAACGGTTTCAACATTCTTGATAAGATAATCGAGTACAGCTGACGTGCCTCGAGACTATTAGCTCCGATGTTGGGAATTTTTCGAGTTATAATTACAGAATGAATTCTCAATCACGAAGAACAGTAAAAATAAAAACCACAAAATCATCGATTTTTTTGTTCATGTATTGGTTTTTACGATTTTCATTTTCCAATTCTCTGTATCTTCTTTCAAAATGAAACGTTTTATTGTGATACTTCATGTTGCTGGCGTTGTTGGAAAAATTGTACAAGGTGGAACAAAAAAATGCGCAGTCTAATAACTAAAGGTATATGAAAGGATTATAGCATTAAAATTGAGACACGAAAGGAACACAATCAGCTAGAAGAACTCTCCCATAATGAATACAATGCTTTACGTAAGATAGCACGAATACATGGGAAAAACTTCAAAAAACGTGACGATCCTTCATCGTCGTCAATAACAATAGAAAAAATTAGAAATATTGTTCATTAAAGGAATCTGAAAATGAAGCCTTTATAAATATTTGTTCCCTCTGTAAAGAATGAAATTTTTACTATGAATAAATGAAACGATCAATGGATGTAAGATAAAAAACTGTTAATGGTGGTTTCAGCCTTCTGAAATTCTCAATGGTAAGGAAAATTCATTTTTTCACGCCGTAAGTGCTTTGAAAAAACGTTACGGCTGATTCATGCAATTAACTTCGTCATTATTCGCCTCGTCGAAGCTGAACGAATGGAGAAAGATCTCGTTGTCTGTTTCAAATTTACAAATCGAACAATGAACGAGAGAAAATTTTCAACGGAAAATCATTTTTCTTTTACGATTACTGTAATTCATTTATTAGATCGATGGTAATAATTGTAACACGTAAATGTACTCTCTTTTATTTAAACGACGCGACGAAGAAATGAATTGCAAGTTCCCTTGATCTAATCATGAACCGAATGATAGAAAAGTTGATTTTAAATTCTAATCTAGCCTGTTATTATCTAGGTAAGTTCGTTGCAAGGCAGTCATTAAACGGTTTCAACATTCTTGATAAGATAATCGAGTACAGCTGACGTGCCTCGAGACTATTAGCTCCGATGTTGGGAATTTTTCGAGTTATAATTACAGAATGAATTCTCAATCACGAAGAACAGTAAAAATAAAAACCACAAAATCATCGATTTTTTTGTTCATGTATTGGTTTTTACGATTTTCATTTTCCAATTCTCTGTATCTTCTTTCAAAATGAAACGTTTAAATAAAGTCTTCTTGTTAATCGGCCTGTTTCTTCCCAAAGCCAAGCTCCACTTTCCCGATTCAACTTCACCAGGAAAAGTAAATCCGTTTCTCGCAGCACACGCAGGCGGTCGTTCGATAATAATCTAGCGACTCGATTCGTGCATTCGATTGTTACCTTCAATGCGATACTCTCCTCGTTAGATTTCGAGCGTGCAAAGCGAAGAAAATAACCGGAAACGAACGTGCGACTCAATGAAATGTACCGTTCCACTGATCGTCCTCGCGATTAGTTTTAATCACAATTACTGTTCAGGTAATAGTGCATTATTACCTAAGCGATCTTATGCAGTTTTTGTCTCCTAAGTGAAATATCTCGGATCTCTGCTATTGCTTGTTTAAATATTTTACATTTATAAGAAAAGTGAATCTACAAGAAATATGAATGCTCCATGCGACGTATAAAAATATAGAAAATATCAAAAGGAGAGTGCAATGTTTAAATGATAAAAGAATCTGCTATTTAAAACAATTTTTAAACTGCTATTACAAATATTCTACTTTGGATAAAAATCCACAGTCTATCGATGTACACATTGACTACGTGTTTGTATATTACGTGTTACAGCGTTACTTTAATTAAATACGTAGAACACAAGGATCGAAAGTACCGAAGTAGAACTTCCTGTTGCGAATCTATTTAAGTATAGATTCAATCTGTACTCTATAATCATTAATTAAAGTAACAATAAGGTCGTCGAAGAAAGAAATGGTATTGATTGCACGCCTAACGACAAACAATATTTCACTATAATTATTTTTAACGCCTGCACCATCCGACGATAATTAATTCTACTAATTGAATTGGAATAATAATTACCGGAACGATCTGACTTATAAAGTCTCCTCGGGAGCAGCGAGGGAAGGGATTTCGGACGAAGTTTCGCGCGTACCTTTCGGTTGCTAAGAACGATTCCCGGTGTCGCACCGTTCGAGAAACCAGAAGGTTACCAGTTACTCCTGAAATAATTGCCTCCTTTGAATTAGCATTACAAAAGAGGAAGGCGGTGCGGTACGTATGCGAGTACGCGCTCGTTAAGACGCCAGCCAAGTTTTGTTTCGCTATCTGCCGGCTATTGTTTCAACATCGCCAGGTATCCGCCTGAGTCCTGCGCCGCTTGTGTACCGGCGAACCTTCGTCCTTTCCCCGCTCGAAATTGAAACCCTCGGGATCGACTGCTGGAAACTCGAAATGTCCTCCATTAGACATGCATACTTCGAAAATTATGCTATGTAAGAGCTACCTGAGAAGAGGATGGGCATAACGATCGTTGCGAGACCGTGGACTCGTTCCATAATGCAGGAAACTTTTTAATAAAGCTACATTTTCAATAACCATTCTCCTCGCTTCGCATGTTTAACGTTTCGTCGAGTGCAGAAGTTCTGATGAAGTTTATAGTAATATTATTTCAGTTACTATGTAATTAGGATAAAGACGTTAAATAAAGGACGGAGTTTACACGTGGGAAAGCTTATTAAAATATCTGCGCTCGCCTATGCAATAGTTCATCCTTCAACAAGAACGATAGTAATCGCTCTCACTGTTAAAAATGTACAACTTTTCTATCAAAAAAGTAAAACGAGGATCCTAATCCCTCTATTAAATAACCGCGTGTAACGTGAAAATCGAAAAATAAATAACAGGAACAAATTGCGATTCGTTAACGCGATACCGCAACCGCGTGTAATTAAAATTGATACCGTACAGGTACACAACCCCTAACAATCGAATGCTCGTTACGTCGCGTCGTGTGAACAGATCGTTAACCGAAAAAAACTCTGTTCTCGCGTATTGTGTGACTCCGAAGAGAAACGAAGTTCCGTCGCCGGTCGGGTCGTGGATCTCGCGGCTGCCGGTCGTCAAACGTCTAATATCAATCGACCACTAGCATAATACTGAAGGATGGGCGAAGAGGCTGATCGTGGAATAAAAACGAGCTGAATTATATCGGGACGGATAGGAGGGCCTCCAGAGAGAAAGAGAGAGTGAAAGTAACGTCATTATAATACTCATCGCGGTTCGACCAAAGGATTAACCATAAATTGCGCGTCGCATCAAATGCCAACCGGCAAGTTAATGACTACCGTAATCATTTTGAAAGTCCGGTGAATCGGTGAACCGTGAGAATGAACAAGATGTTCTCTACCGTCTTCGGGGTTGCGTCACGGCCCCGTGACAACAAAGAAGAAGCGAAGAAGCGGCGGCGGCGGAGGTGGACGAGCACGACGCGGCGATTTGTTTCTTCCGACAACGAGCCCTGGCTCGATCTTCATGTCGGATTGAATGTCACTGAGCCACGGACACCACGCGGCCCGATGGATATATACGACTACGTAACGTGCCATTTTCCATTCGCCGCGTAATAGAGACCCCATTACCACGGCCAGGGATTTGATTAGGATAATCGATTTCACGGGTAATCGCCGGCTACGATATAAACCTACGTCGGTTATCGCGATCGAGCGGTACGTTTCCTCGGTGAAGTCGGGCCGATACGATCGTCCGTCATTGATTGATGTGCAGAGCTAACGATTAATGTGGGAAAGTGGGAATCGCCAACCGGAAATCGTGATGATATTTGTATTTGTTTTTATGTTACCCGTCCTTTCGGTTAATCTGTTTCTTCGATCTGATGGAAAAATTAGATATCGGAATTGTTGCAACGATGGAGCGACTTCTAATAATTCTCCTATCATCGGCTCTCGTCGAATCGTGACAGAGAATCATGATACAGTAATAGTTCTATTCTATCTCAGTTAAGTGTCTTATTATATCAAGTTGGTGTTTCAATATGCTTTTATAAAACTGAACATAATGATTCGTTCTTTCAATCATATACTATCTTTTGAATTATGTAATTAATTTGTAACTAGCTTTTTATAAATATTATTTGATCCTCTTGAAATGATAATTGAAAAATCGTATTAAATTTAAAAATTTTTAATAAAAATTTTGTTAGTAAANTTAGACTGAAGATCTAAATGTCCCCGGTTCGATCCCGGGTTTCGGCAATGTTTTTATCGTGGGAATCATCAATGTCTTTATTCATTTTCCCTTTTTTCGTGTTGTATTTAATTATAGAAAGAGACTTTATCAATATTCTCTATATAATCTTTTTTCAGCTTCATAAATGACAAGAAATAGTTTGTTAATATGTATGTTGATATTTATTCTACCTTGCAGATATATTAATTAAAGAAGAATAGTAGTTCAGAATTGTTACATTTTTAAAACTAATCTTCCTGTGTTACAGAATCATGTACAACAATTTATCAGGAATGGCTTACCTCGAAGTAATCTTATTTTTATGTAAGTATGATTTGTAATACAGTTACAACTTACGATTTCTTATTTCTGTTTGAAATTAGTGAATTCATAAATCTACCCTAAAAACAGTCATACATTATTATTTCCCAATATTCTGTACTCAAGATTTCTGTAACTGAGTGCATTATTTTAATCTATCTATTCGTATGTATGTACTATATGTTACGCAAATGTTACGTCGTGTCATTGAACGATAGACACGCAGTAAAAAAAGAAACATCATTTTACAAGGAAATGTAAATCTCGTTTGTTGAAATACCAACTACGTATCCTTCGGTGTTTCAGGTTCGATGGTCACTTTCATGGTCGGCAATTGTGAAACAAAGGTGATTATGATTGCTCATTAACGTTCCCGTCTTATAGTATAGCGCATGGAAATACATTCATAATATCCTCGGATTATTTAATAGACATAGTAATTAGTAAACTGCGGATTTTTATACAAAATATTTTACAAAATTAAATCTTATTTGACATATTATAAAATATTTCACTAATCATCTCACATTTTTGCATTAAGGAATGAAATCTAATTTGAGATTTATTGAAAATAAAAATACTTATATTTTCTGCACATCTGATTTTCGTACAAATGTATAAAATCCGCAGTACAGTAATTAATTTACCATTGACGATGTTTGATTAAACTTTATTGGTTTCACTTCTAGTCAGAAAATAGTAACAAAGATGTAAACCTGCCAGGGTTCCTATCAGAGTTCAATTTGTCCGATATAGGGGCATCCGTAGAAAACGAAGAGTCATTGAAAAAGCTAGTGAAAAGACTGGCACCGGAGAAGAATGGCGAGTACCAAGTTTATCAAGGTTCCTAAAAGCTAAATTCATTTACTAACGCCTATTGAATTAATTGTTCTTTAACTCTCTCCCGTCCTGTCACTAACGTACTTTCTTCGCCTCTATTTCCCAGTCTTCTTCGGCAACGCGGATCTTCTCAAGGAATGGCTCAAAGGAGCGGGTATTATTAATAATACTGCATAAGCACTGCATCAGCCAGCTTTCTCCTTCAGCTTCCTCTAGCCTAATAGAATAAAACGCGTACATCCACTCTGTATTCTTTGATCGATGTGACAAATGATTCTCCCGGGTAAATCAGACGGGATATCGATATCTATCGATCGATGTGCAACAAGTAGAGACCATACTGAATAGTTGCCAAGTATTATCTCAAATCAGTTACAAAAGTATACGTGCATATTACATACAATGAAGTCCATAAATATTCGTACACGTTTTAGAATTGTATAACTTTTTATGTCTTTCACTCTTCAAAACCACTGCACACTACATACATTCTTTATATTTTCAATATACCAAATTTTTCTATAGCTACATGAACTCCACAACCTAATGATATCTTCGCATGAAACCATTTTCGTATTTACTCCTGCAATTTTTTCTTCTATCTATTATTTTTCTATAAAATTTACATTTTTTTAAGGAATTCCTTCCTTTAATCTAGGCGTTACCGGACAGCCCGGGGTAGATTTCCCAGCTCTTACGTCGATTCCGGCTACCTCATTTAGCTGCCGAGGCCTAAAAGGTGGTTACTACGCGGACTTGGAAACGAATTGTCAAGTAAGCGAGGAATGATTCATTACAATGAATTTCTTATGTATTACTTTATTACATAATCCATCATTTCTTGTACATTCCTATGTATAGGAAAGAATATTTTTAACCCGTGTAATAAATAAATAAGTGGTTTAAATCGACATATTATGAAAAGTCTCCTCTGTCTGTTCATTAAAAAATGAACGCCCTTCAAGTTTTCATATAATACTTAATTCTCCTCAAAAATCGTACATTTTTACAAAAACCGCTATTTTTCGGAAACGATAGAGCAATCCTGCTTCCGGATTTATTTTTGTCATTAGAAAGTCTACAAGAATCACGTAGTGATTATTGCATAGAATGAAAAAAATGTTTTTACGTTGGACCGTGTAATTGAACTTCGTCGACTCGTTTTTTATAGGTATTCCACATTTGCGACAACGGACGGAAGATATCGTTCCTATGCCCGAACGGTACCATCTTCCAGCAATCGCAGCTAATATGCGATTGGTGGTTCAAGGTGGACTGCAGTAAGTCCGCGGAATTGTACGAGCAGAGTAGCGAACAGTTCCTCGAGGACGAGAAACGGCGAGCCGAGTCACGAAAGCCGAGACCAGACTACCAGCAGTCGATCGAAGGGGAACAGCAAGATTACTACGACGTGCAGAATCTCAATTACGACGGTAAACAGAACGGGAGGATCCAACCGTACGAGGAGCCACCGCAAGAGAATCAAGTGCAACCGAACAGAGAGAGACTCAAACCATCCCGACACTACGACTCGGGCAATAATTTCAATCAGGAATCAAATGCGCAGAAAGAGGGTAATCAACTGTTCGAGTCCAACGGGTTCCAACCCAAACAGTCTTCTAATTTGAAGCAGCAGTTCAGTCAATACAGAAATACCGAGGATGGAAACGTCAACAGACATTCAACGACCAGTCAGGATTATTATAGTACACCGAAGAAGGCTCAGAATTATAACGTCGCTAACAGAAACCAGAATAATCAACGGGACGACAAAGGGACGCTAAAGAAGTTAAAGTTCAAGGGTCTGACAAGGAACAGTACTCTCCCCGCTACTAGACCCACGCCGGCTTATACAGAATCGACGACCTTCAGAGCGAGCAATACCAGCCCTATAAAAGAGTCTCAACAATTCGCGGAGAGCGCGGCATTCGTCGGCAGATCTAGGAATCGGTTCAACGAGAACACTGGCAATACGCATCAGTATTATTATCAAGTGTACATTAATCGGGATTCCAGCACGCGAAGTCCAAACTACGATTCCACCACGTGGAGGCAGGACAACGAAAACGACGTCTCCACGCAGAGACCCGATTTCGTTCCTTACACCGACACATCTTCTACACAGTACGAGACGACTACAGTCCCGTGCAACGACGATATCACCACGGAGAACATATTCTCGTCTACTAACTTCGATACACAATCCGTGACCGAGTCTCTCGAATTTGCGAACAGTAATTACGAGTATCGTGGGAACGGAAGACAAACAGCAAACGTTCGAAGTAGTTTCGTCGATAAGAATACTTATAATACCAGAGAATCTAGTAGAGTGGCTAATGTCAAAGTAGGAACGATTCCTTCGACGACCCGCTCGTATGCGACTACCGAAGTCTATCGCCAGAACACTTTAACACCGAGTTCTTCGCAGCAAAGGTACACGACCAATTATTTTTCGCCTACACCGACTGCGTCTTTTCGCAGCAACAATTTCGGACGTACTACTGAACGGCCAGTAACTCGAAACACGAACAGCAATCAGTTTAATAAATTCAATAGCGATACCAGAGGAAGTAATAAGAATCCTTCTACGGCATCGCCGGGCTATCGACAAAACCTCGTCAGCTCGACCACGGACAAGCCTAGAACCACCTTGGCTTACCAACCGAATACCGTGACGGAAAAGGATTTGAGTCCTTATGATAGAAGTTTTACGTATAAACAGGGCAAAGTGATGTCTACATTGGGTCCTTACGTTCCTTTTACAAAGAACTACGCCAGTACTACTTCTAAGCCTGTTCCATACACCCCCACCGTGCCTACTTACACCACAACTTACACTTCGCCAAAACCGAGACTGAAGTACCCCGCCCCGACATCTTTGAGCAAAATCAAGCCGAACGCGGGCCGTCTGTCCGAAAGGGAACACGCGATCAGTATGTTGAACTCTCTCAAGAGCCTAGAGAACAGCGTGCCCAGTTTATCCGACGCATTAAAGGAAACCGACAAGACTTTCAACGTTTCCGTACCACCGGCAGTCTCCACTCTGCACTCGTTGGCTTTGTATTTCTCCACAGCCACTGAGAACTTTGATTCGAATGAAACAACTGACTCACCCATAGAATCCGTGGAGGTTGTACAGAAATCTAAAAAGACTAACGAAGCGGTAAAAGTTCCGGCTACCATTCTGACGCAGCACACTCTCAACTCGTACGCTGATTTATTTAAACTGAACGATGCTGCGGAGTCTAACAACGTGACCATGGAGGATCGTTTGGACAACTCGAATGGATACGACGATTACGAAGATGACCTGGAGCTTCAACAAAGCGGGGGATCGTTGGACGATCTCCGAAGATCGAACAGCACCAGGCTTCGAGAATTGGCGCAAGTGTTCACTCATGCTCTGTCTGCTTATTTGCTGGATCCAGACGCGTTCAAAAAGGTCCTCACAGAAATCAGACCTACCGAGCCGTCTCTTAGTACGGAAGAAACTGACGAATGGAAAACTACCACGGACTATCCTTTCGACGAAAACAACACTTTGTTGATTAGAGAAAGAGACGAAGTCCTAGATTACTCTGAAGACGCTAACGACATCAGACAGAAACTGACGACTATTTATCCCACCACGTTCGAACCTCCCACGACTACGGAAAACGTTTACGACACTTTGAGCACGTTGCCTAGCAGTTATTACACTACTTCTAGAACTTCTTCACAAGACGTCTTCGAACATACCACAGACGCAGCTAATACGTATGCCGAGACTACTTTGCCTCCAACGGAGACTACAATTACCGTAGAACAAAACAGTACTCCGTATGAAAGCGACTCGAGCAGATTTCCTAATCAGAACAATATGGAATCGACAGCAACGGATAATTATGATAGCTCCGAAGACGTTGGGGCACAGAATCGAGTCGGTGGGTTCCAAAATAACAGCGCCACGACGGTCACCGAATCGTACGAAGAGAAATTATTTGCTATCACCCCCGCGAGTGACAATTACGTGGTCTCGCCTACTCCTTCTCCCCCCTTGATGCACATGCACATGATTAATTTCAATTGGAACAAGAAATCATCGAGCAGGAAGCCCGAACAGCAATTGACTCCTCCATTCTTCGACACCTACTTGGAATCGATTCGAAAGGATAACAACAAGATTCTGGCGTCCTTAAATCCAGAGAATTACCCTAGTACTCCGATCTCAGCGCACAGCACCCGCGCTACAACGTTAGGCTCTACCAAAAGCTACGAGACCTCGACTATTCAACCTCGTAAGGCATCCCGTCATAGATCGCAGTTATCCGAGTCAAAATCAAGCGGAATTTCACGAAGTAGCCACGCGAATCTAAAAAATGTTCACAATCGCGTAGCCGAGACCACCGAAAGACCAGAGAAAACCTCAACACTCAGGATTACTGAACCGGTGCCTACGACCACTAATGGAGATGTTACACCTTGCGAGAACACTGACTCCAGCGAATCCTTCGAATCAAATAACGAAAAAGAGACTAAGGACAGCGATTACTGGACTTCGTCGCCAGCTGTGACAAACTTATGGAAGACCTCTGTGTTCGTCGATCCTCAGAGGATTAATCACGATTTAGGGCCGGACTCCGGCTCGACCGTTACCTCGGGAACGTTCGCCGTCACCGACAGCCAGGAATATGGGAACACGCGTTCCGTGGGTGAAGACATATCCAGCAGTTCGGAAGAATCGTTCATCGACGACGAGGATCTGCCACCTCCTGCCCAGAGATTATCTAGAGACAAGGACTCGCCTACTACGTTTTCTTTGCTACCAGCGTCATTCGTCGCTGACAGTACAGTGACACCGAGACCGTTGATCACTACGAAGTCCAGCATCACTACTACCATAACTTCCAGCATCACGTCGACGAAAGCATTGCCACAGGAAAGTCTAGCGACTTTATTACCGCAGGCGGCGTTGAACGGAACGGAAAACGAAATCGCCGACAGACTGTTCGGAAAACTAAATGTTTCGAGCACTAACACGCTGATGAGGGTGATGAAAGAGGTAGATAGCAACGAGACTGTCAGGCAGCTGGTGTTGCTTCTAATAAGACACTGTAGCGATCCGACGAACAAAACGATGCAACGGGAGAAAGATGAATTGCTGAACGCGTTGCTTAAATTACCCGTGAGCGAGTTCTCCTCCGAGGAGTCCAGGAACATCGTTGCTGGGATTAATCAGCTGAGCGCGCCAGTCGTTAGGTCGACTAATCACGTGAGAAGCACTACTCCGGTGGTGGTCACAGAACCCCCGGTGACTACGTTCAGAAGTAGGAAAAGTCGAAAATTCCGAACTACCACGGAAAGTTCGGCAAATATTATAAGACGGTCGGAGAAGGAGGCCGCGACGGATGGGAATAATTCCTTGCAGGAGGACGAGGCGTCCGCATCGGACAACAGGGCTTTAGAGCTACTCAGATCATTGTACACGATAGCTACTAAATGGGGTTGAAATTGAAAGATAGTGTAGCGGGGATCGTCTTTTATCGATGGGGCCTGAACACGAATTTTCTTTCTGAAACGTGTCATTTCAAATAATTGATGTTACTTTAGTTTGCTTAGGGACAACGGGACGTCGTAAGACGCAACTGTTGCAGGTCATAGCTTTTCAATTAATCTGAAATAAAAATGTCAGGGGAACGATTAAAAATACAAAAACTATTTTTTTGTAAATGCAAAAATATTTGCTTGCTTGAAATGTTTATTGCGAGACAACTTGTAACAGTTATGTAAATCGTTCTATGTATCAATAGTCGATTTTTCGATGTATTAAGGAATCCAATTGATTGAATCGATCAATTGGAAATATTTTTAATTATACCCTTAGATCATTCTTGCAGAATCTGCTTCTCGATATGATTTAAAAGATCTGATGCTGAGGAACTGAAATGTTTCTGTGGGTGATGGGAACTCAATATGTACTTATTAATAATTAATCTGATGAAAATACAGGATGATCGTAAAATCCCTGTACATTTTTTGAAAAGGTCTAAATATATTTTCAATTTATCTTCAGTAATAGTCGATTACAATAACTGTCCATGGTATCAACAATGTACCATATCTATTTAGATGGTTAAATGTAAATTAGAAAAGAAAAACGTTTTATGCAGATGCCTTATTCAGAAAATGTATCGGGGAATATTGTTTCGTATTTTTCCTCGCAATTTATACACACGGAATTTCTCAAAGATGTGATGTAATGGGAAGACATTACGGCATTATAATGAACGACTCCCGATTAATTTCATTTGAAATGCATACGCGTCATGGACGAATGGCTCGGTGGAACAATGAAATTCTTTGGAATTCGCTCGTTAGATTGTAAATTGAATACTCTCTCTTAAAACATACATATATCACTGGAGGCAGCTTCACAAGCTAAATGCTCAGCTGCATGGTACTTGGTACCTCTCTCTCACAGCACGGTATTGGCTACAACACTCGCCTTACTTGTCAATAAGCAATGAGATAGCAAAGCAATTTGATAGAGAAAGGTGCAGGCGAATCCGGTGCTGCGAAAAGAAAGCAGCATGTAGAATCTGCATTATAGATAAATTGCATTTCTCTCTTTTTATGAGTCTGTCTACTCTACACTTTTGACATATATGGAAACTGGCTCCAGTATGTATGCTCCAAGTACTCTCTACTACGTATTGCACCTGAAATCGTAACAGTATTAAATCGTATATCGTGCATGTACCTACGAAATACACTGTACCATAATTGTTATCTACGTGCATCAAACGAATAAGGATTTCGATGTCCTATGTTTACCTCGACGGGAGATATGAATTTGTATATCTAACTGTATTGCAGTATACATGTATAATTTTTAAGGATCGCGAAATATTAATCGCTTCCTTCAGGAAGGATTGGGAACTCGTAAATTTAGAACTCGTTACAGCAAAATTATTACTTGGGATCGCTTTGAATCTTGGTGCTGGTGTGCTTTTATGTGTCAGGGTATCACTGTATGTTAAAAGAGTAACAATTTTAAGGTACGAGACCCTTGTTCCGTCCATAATGTTTCAATAAAAATCTTACTTCCGGAACTGTACTTCTTATTCTGTACGGAGAAGTACAACACGTTCCTTTATGTTTTCTAACAAAGTTTTCTACTTTATTTTAAAGATCGTTTACATTCGATTGTAACAATTGTACTTCGTATCAAGAGTATTAAAAATCGGCGCCCGATACTTAAGTTGGCACAGTAACATATTATGTAAAATACATTTGTACAGAATGTGAATAAATAAAAGAGGGTTTTGTTAATGTTTACATCCCTCTTTCGTTCCGCCTTCACACCTTCTTTAACCGTCCACATTGTTGCACATCGAAAGGATTCACAGATATAACTTCGTTTAAAACAATAAAAAGAATCATTTTTAAATATAAAATATTCATATCATAAAAATGTTGATTTGATAAAACGCAATCGTTGGATAAATTATGTGTGAGAAACATTTTTTACATAATAAGAATCTCGGATAATGAGTATGAAATGGTAGGAAAGACAGATCGTTTCGAGATCAAATCAATATCAATAAAAGAGAGACCAACTACCTTAAGGTTTTTAACAAGTGGAGATTCGTAACACATTTTGTTGTATAGAGTAGATGCAGCTTTAGAAACATCGAAATATGCAAAAATCGTTTCAGTTTGTAGTATAATAATTCAGTTATTCTGATTTAAAAAGATGTTAAAATACATTCGTGATTCACAATAGAATCGGAAATTAAAAAAAAAAAAAAGAGCAATTTGTGGTCCACAAAATCCCATAATGCACTAATCAGTCTTTCAAATAATCTAAACAATCAAATCTTCGTTCATATAAGATTCATACGATTAACATCCCATTCCGCACAGTAATCTCCGCATTAAAAATAAACTTCCATTAGGAATGTACACATTATCGACATTTTACAATTCGTAACATGAGTGAATACCATTTCATTCATACGTGATCGTAATATTAATGAATCCCGTTTTCACGACTCCTTGTGTTGGCGGTTCTAGCTTGCGGCTTTCTTTCGCTTTGTCCCCTATCCACACATGTTCCTCGATCCAATCTAGGTAAGAGTACACGGCGGTATATACACCCGGTACTTTGGTACCGCAACTCTGTCCAAACGCCGTGATTCCAATCACTCTATCGCCTTTCTCAGTCAACATTAAAAGCGGCCCTCCGCTATCTCCTTGACAAGCGTCAGATCTTCTCGTTTCATTCCTGTCTACAGCACAAATCAGGTTCTCATCGATACCCCTAGGTAACTTCAGGAATCCGGAGTAATACTTCGCACAATCCTCCCTACTCATGACGCTGTCATTTCAAATAAGTTTAGATTAATACATATTTAATTCATGCTCATTCAAGAGTTTTTATTAATCCATAAGTAAACTGCGGATTTTTGTACAAAATAAAACATTTTAATCAGTTTAAAGAATGCGTTTTAAATAAACATTTGTTTCATCATTTAAACGTTGAAATATCCAAGCAGTTTTTAATATCTTGTCTTATACGTTACACGTGGAGTTTATCACTTTTCCAGATTGAATTTTCATATAATTATTAATTACCTAATATCATATTTATGACATGCGATGATAATAAATATTTGTACATAAAGATTTCGTGTCGTAATACCTGAGAGTATGCGTCCTCATTAATTTAACAGAATTCTCAACGTCGAAGCTCGTAGCACCCCATCCGATCACTACTAAAGCCGTTCTCGATGTAACTGTCATATGATTCAATGATCTGGTTTGCAAACAGATAGGCTTCACTGTATTGGATAGCTGTACCTTTGTTTTCAGCTTCAAAATTGCAATGTCGTTATACTGTGCGCTGCGTTTGTATTTCGGATGAGATATTATGTCGCTTATCGAGATTCGCTGCACGCTTTCCGCGGTGCTATTGAGACTCTCGTCTCCCAACCGTACCTTGAAAAGTTCATTAAAATCCGGTTAATATTTATAAGATAAATTTCGACATTGAAATTGAGACATTTACTTTAATAGTTACTATTCGTTTAATTTAAAGCATAAAATAATTTCATATCGTCACTATTAATTAGGCATTTTTTAAGAAATTTTAGTAATACTTACTTCAATAGGCACTATCTCATTTACATTATTGACACAATGTGCTGCTGTCAACACGTGTTGAGACGATATCAAACTACCCCCACAACTGTATTTAATACCCACGTCGTTCTGATATCCCAAAGCTACCATGTACGGGAATTCACCGGACCGTGCCTCGACTCCACCGAATATGTGAAGAGTCAAATCTTCGGCGCCCGATTCTCCGTTCCTTGATCCTATCGTTGTATCGTATTGCTCGCAGGCTGAAATCATGTTATCGTGCATTTTAGACCAATCAAACGCTCCATCCCTATTTTTTTTAAACTCGAGAAAAGTTTTAAAAATTGACGTAATTCTTAGACTAATTATTTAAATTATACTAATACGAATTATTAATTATACTAATTCTTCAAATTATACTAATACGAATTATTAATTATATTAATTCTTTAAATTATGCTTTTGTTAATTCTTTAATTTTGTACTTTGACATTCTTAAACTAATTATTTTCAATTTTAATTAGCATAAAACAAATATAAATTTTTGTAATTGTAAATAGGGAACAGGTGATCATTTCTTCTTTTGGTTTAAACCCATTTAATGAGTTCAACAGAAATGTTAGTTTTCAGCTTTGTAGGAATTCCCATTTTCCTCGAATGAAATCAGTAATTGAAAGGAGAAAAGTCCCGAGAGTTTCCCCGAATGACTTATCGTGCACTATAAACTTAATTGTCTGAGTACTGGATGTGGGAATCTCTATGATACCAGAGTATAACGGGATAGCAAATAGAGCATGTCATCACTGGACTGCAGATTTTATGCATTTATAGCAAAATTATTTATATAAAAAATGTGAAAAATGCATATAGTGGAAAAAAGTGCATAAAGCAATAATAGAATGCTTCTTTCGTCAAAGGTGTGAGAAGCAATAACCCCGAGGTTTTACGACAGTTGCTATATCCTCTCTTTCATTATACATAAAATTGTTTCCACGTTACAAGTGTGAATGAACCATTACGTCTGTTCTTCACACGTGTGTACATCACGATTCGTACACAACCATAAATCTCCGTAGATGGACGCAATTATGTCATAAATGACTGTGAACTTTCACATTACGCTCGTTAAAAATGGTTCCGAAGCGTAAACTTCTTTAGTAAACAATTATTTAAAATGTTTTATGACACGCAGTGCATCAACGAAAATATAATTTTAAATCACGTACAAGCTTTCGTATGAGTATAATAATTATACTATCAATAAAATTAATCATTTCGAGTCCTAAATAATTAGGAAGCATACCAACTTCAGCAGGACGACGGAATATTTTCTGGGAAACGTTCGCCGGGCAACAGACAATTTCGATGAAATCGTCGAACCCGCATCTTCCCACAGGGGACGAGCTCCTTTTGCCTTCCTCCACCTCGGCCAACCTAGGTGGACAATCGGGCAACCTCTTGCAGACACCTGGAGCTCCATTTTCCAACGTGCACGGACTCCCTTCTGCGGAGAACAAAGAGAATCGTACAGTCGCTACGTGGTAAAAGTTCGCACGAACTCGTAACGCAATCAGGATAAATATAAAAAGAACATCAGAAAGAAAATTTGCATAACGTTCAGTAAAACTCGTGCTCAACAAAAGATCTGTTTATTTCCTTTCGACATAAATTATAAACTCCAAGTCGTGCGCGTTTCCTGGTATCGAGTCTCTGTTCTTTACACCGCGTACCGTCACCTTGAACTTGCCGGAGAGGATACTCGATTCTCTTGACAGAAGCAGAATTTCAAGTTTTTAAATCTGCCTTTCCGTTCAAGTAACAGACAATATTCAAGGAAATCCACGTACAGTCATTCGTCGAAGAGAAAAAGAACGAAACATAAATTCGCAACTCGATGACGTCACCGGAGCACATGCAAGATGTATGTACACATTACATATTATGTAGAATACAGTAAGAGTCAGAATTAAATGAACAAATTAGAATCACAGAATTTCGTGAACGTACATACGATTTATGCGACTCTGTATGTACTTAAGATTTATACGACTGACAAAATGAGAACTTGTGAATTTTACTTTCAACAGATATCACCCTAGGCAATAATATATAATATATTACAAGAAATTCTGCATTATGCATATTCACTTTTTACTCTCACTATACACTTGGTTCACTCGTGAAAGTATTCAATCACGCTTTTATGGAACTTTTGACTAGAAACGAGCCCGTCGTGATTCTGGCCACCAAACAAAGCAGAAATAATAGGGAGACTCGTTCTTTTTTGTTAAAGCGAAGAATCGGGGTAAATAGGTGTATGTAACTCTGACAGCGTTCAAACGCTCCTAATTGCACTCTTCAAAGAAGAATGAGTCTACAAATAAGTTGACGGTCATTCTGACACCGGATAATTATTTTGAGTTCGCGAGACACGCGGAGACGGGCCGTGTAAAGATCTATTTACCGTAGAGATCCTCGTTGAACGCGAACGCTATGATAATTAGCGATAGTTTCACGAGCACGGTCGACAGTAAGTTACTGCACATCTTCGCGATAACTGGAAAAACGACAACGAGAAACAAACGGTGCCGATGATAAACCAATCCGTGTGGCGTACAGTTCAGGACTAAACTGATACCGATGGGATATGGTCAAGCGAGGTTGGCCGATGCGATGCCGTGGATCAGATAGAAGGGAAATGCTTGTAGAGAATTCACGGCTCTTGGCTCTTCCCCCTCGAAAACGAACAGAAAAAAGGAAAGAAAGATGATTCGGTTCGTGCGGCAAACCATCGTCGATGATGCTCAGACAACGTACGGTGATTAACGTGTATTACGTGTGCAGATATCATCTTCTATCGCTAACCGGATTTATACAGCGTAATCACCGTTGTACGCAGTATTTTATTGACAAAATCTATTCATGTAATTACATGCTCTTCCAATGATGTCTTTGTTTATAAATGACTATTTAATAAAATTGAGGATCTTCTTTTAAGAATGAACACTTATAGTTTTTACAAACAAAACCTTGTAATGATTTTCGGCATTTCTAATGCTAAACCAGTTATTTGTCTCTGTTTAGAAATGACTGTATAATAAAATTGAGGATCTTCTGTTAAGAATAAACATTTATATTTCTTGTACAAAGAAGCCTTGTAATGATCTCCGGTATTTTTAATTCTAAACCAGCTATTCATGATGAAGGTACGATTTAAATGTTCCTTAAGAATTTTACCTTGTCTGAATGTCACTCGAGATTTTTCCATAATTACATGTAGATCAAAACTCTGGTATATAATTGACATTACTTTAACGGTTGTTCTTGCGTGTTTATTAATTACAACAGTTAACATCTGATCATGCAACGTTTGATCTCGGCGCGGATTAAATTCTTACGTAATGATCCAGTGAAAATCATGCTCAGAATAGATCTCGATACGATGTTGTTTTCGTCGTTCCTCAAGTGTAATTGTTTCTTAATAAACGCATTTTAATACGTTCTACTTATTCAGAAGACTTCTTTCAGAGAAAAATGACACAGTCGAATTTTTTTGTTGGGCGATAAGAATTTATTTCAAATATTATGGCTATTCGTAAAAGGTAAGTATTATCTTCTCTGGTGAAATATTTTCTACCTAAGAGACGATGAGAGGTGAATGGAAGATCCGTACACCGGATGTAAGGTTGGGCGTTGGGTCACCGTCGGATGACCGTCGACGATAAGTATTCGGTAACAAAAGTAACGATGTACGTAAACAGTTTTACCATATTTGCTTTTTCCATCAAATTCGGGATGCGTTCAATTTTTCATAGTTAGAATCGGTAATACTTAGAAACGCTTTTCCAATGAATCGCGTGTCTATTTACTCTGACTAACGTATCACCCAGATCTCGTTTCTCGGTAATTTTTGCATTCTCGAAACTAGGAAATATCGTCAGATCGCGAAACGATGTGGTTAACGACTCACTTGTACAGATTTCCCATAAAAATAGAACCCGGGGGATTTACACGCGACATTGGCCTGAATACTTTCTTCGAAATGCATCCGCATAAAAATAACTTCCCTTCCAGTTGTTGCGTTAAAGAACACGAATAAGATATCGATACTTACATTTATTAATTAATACTAAAAAATGTTAGATTACACTGTCCATTTGTATGGTTCGCATTACACTGTTTATATTGCCACGTACATGTATGAATAATAAGTCTAACAAATTGCATACAGCTCATAAATAAATACCGGAAAAGTTGGAGAATCGTGAATGGTATCGCATAATAAAAGACAAGTCATTGCACTGTACTTATAAATTATTAAAACGCAGTATACGAATAACAAGCTACATTTTCAGTTCATCGGGGAATAACAAAAAGGACTTAATAACGTGACCACAAGTACATGATTTCTCGGATTCGAGACAGCTGCCAGGTAGCTAGAACAGGTATCACTTCTTATTCCCCTCGAGATGTTTTTTATACGCAATGGACGAGTACATACATTATTATCCACAAGTTTTACGGTTCTCTCTTCCAACGGAATTAATCCAAAAATATTTAACAAATAGATTGCACATATTGAGTTCATGCATTTCACCTATTCATTAAAATATTTTGGCCTTTTGAACACTTTATTGTCTTCATTTTTTTCTCAATTTTTTTTCTCAATTATTTGAATTATTAAAGTATTAAAACTTTTTAAATGACTTCTCAGATTCAAGATAGCTGCCAGCAGGTAACTGGGACAGCTATCGCTTCTTATTCGCCTCGGGATCTGTTTTATATTCAATGTACATACATATATGTACACTATTATCCACAAGTATTTCCTAAAGTATTACTTTCCAATTTTTAACAAAACGTTTGTCGATGTTCTCTTAATCTAAAAATTAATCTAGAAATATTTAACAAGTGAATTCCATCTATTCATTAGAATACCTTCAACTCTTGAATACTTTATTGTCTTAATCATGTTAATGAGTAAAGTGTCAAATTTTTTAAAACATTGAATGATTTATTAGACTGCTTTTATTGACTAATCGAATACTTATGAACGGTAGTGTACCTGTCAAATACATTCCGAAAACGTTCGAGTTCGGATCAAAAGTGCACGCGCAAAGAGAAGCAGAAAAAGGAGGAAGGCAGAGAAAAACTGACAGAAAATGAGAAAAAGAGGCAAGCTGATCCGAAAGACGAAGAGGAGAATCAGGCGGTGGAACAGAGACCGAAGGAGAAAGAGAGCAGTTTTGCACGCGCTCACATTCAGTCTGCCTGCGGCGTTCGTGCTAGACGTGTTCGGTCGCTGGTTTTTAAACTCTGCTCGAATCTGCGTCTACGCTCCGTTATCATTAATTAAAAAGAGCGATGAACGCGGAGTATGACAGCCGCTACGATTTCCTACACGGTTTTCCTTTGTAAGACACATACAATGGATTTATACTATGAATGAAGTCGCGTAAAAACCAGACGATAGGTAAGAAAACCTTCATTATTGTTTTCATCGGAAGCGAGTCAGGTTTAAAAAGTAAGCGGGGAAGTCCCGCGTAGATTGGACAATTAATCACGGCTGAGAGGGACACGAAATCCCGTTCGATGAATTCATAATTGGATCAATTTAGTAGAATCGAGTCTTCAGAATATTTACAATCTTAGCCGTTGCTAAAAACTGTTCACCGGTTTAAGCAGATGCCGTGATACTATACATATGTTGAGTGACCAAGTCTCGCGTGCGCGAAATCTTAGAAATATCTAATATTATTACACATAATTGGATTCGTCTCCTGTCATAATATCACGGTCAAACGGTTGACAATGGGACTTCCTAGATTTATCATACTACTTCACTTATAGCATTGATAATTCATTTATTTATTACAATGGTACACAGTAAAAATTTCTTGATGTAACAAAACAGTGGTACAAGAAGAAGTCAGATTTGTATTACCACCACAGAAAAATTATTTACATTCAAAAGTCCGAGGGAAGTCGAACGGGAATGATGCGTCCCTTAAGACTTGAATAAATTATGTGTCCCAACAAAAAACTCTTTTCTATCTCATGACTCTTTTAGAGTTTCTCATGGCAGAACCGAATCCGGAATCAAGTTCTTGTAACAAAACGTGATTTTTCAGAAAAAAGAGGTATCACACGGTTCTGTACATTTTTTATCAGAAATGTTTGTAAACTCCAATAATGTATATCAAATTTCTGCTTGATAAAAGGATTTTCATGTAAACATAAAAATGTTACGTGTAACGTCAGTTCTTCTTCATACTTCAACAATTATTTAACACTTTGGTAATTATTTTTAAAAAGTATGAAATCAAAAAGTGGTTTAGACGGACAAAGTGTAAAAACTCTCTCTTCTACATATATGTATGATCAAAAATGAACTTCCCCGCGCTCTTACTATTTTATAATATAAGAAGATGATATAAACAATATTTATGTACTGCCTAATTTTCATATACTAACATATCACACATTCGTGTACTAACTAATATTCATGTATTACCTCACTTTCCCTAGAATCATACATTTGTACAAAAATCACTGTTTTTCAGAAACAGTACATTATTTAGAATGTTTCTGCGATTTGCTTTTAGCATGAGACAATCTATAAAAATCACGGAAATCTTGTATTATAATCTATTATGCAGTATAATAAATAAGCTGCGGACTTTTATGTTAGTAAAATAAAATATTTA